ATATTAAAACAGTAAAACAAACCAAAAAAGAAAATTGGGTCTCTAATAGCAACATACGCAAGTGGTGGGGCTTATCAGAACGGTTCATTGAGTATATAATATGTTATCCCGCGGATTATCAGAGAATTTGTGGTCACGAATAAAAAGAAATATACAAGTAGGAGTAGAAATCAAAAAGTATAATATTCTTTTACCTGTATGTCTTTGATATTTTCTTTTGGGATTCCAAATCTTGATGCCAACGTGTCTTTAATGTCACTGTAAATAACCAAATTAAGCTCTGTCTATATAATCAAACTATCTTTGACAAAAAAAAACTGTTGTCGAATTAAAAAAATGATGGTCTAAACAGGGCTTTGAATGTATTGAAATGTATTTAATGACCAAACATGTTTGACAACGAATGACGACATGGAGAGACAATTTACAATTACCGGAATATTAAGGTGACGTTGATAAAGTCATTGAAAATGCACCTACTTTTTAAATTCTTCTTGGTTGTTCTCGATACGGTCGAAATCGAATGCTAAACTGAAGCCCAATTGAAGAATGGTGCTGTTCGCAGAAATGATTTTTAAAAAAAATTAAATAGGTTTATGCAACAATAATTTCATATAGTGTAGTTAGGAGAAGAAATACACGCAACATACACAGACCAGTACCCCTGCTCCCTTAAACACAACACCCGTACATACACTCACACGACAGAAATAATTAGTTAGTATGCCGTAATTATTACTCAACAAGGAATTAATCTTATAATAACGTAGGACTCGACTACCATACAATGCATTAATGAATCAACTTTAAGACAATTCCATTAGGATTCATAATGGCCCTTTCCGGATTGTCAATCAAACAACTGACCAATCAGAACAAGCCAGGAATACGCGCGTGTCTAACGAGAACATACGTACGCGTATGATTTAACGCTGTCGTTTTGTGGGATCTTAGCAACATATTTTCAAGAAGTCGAGATTTGCAGAAAGGTCCATTGTTGAATATTGTTAAAATAAAGTAATATACCAAACTCACGAGAACATGAATGTGACAAAATATAATGTTAGGCGTAACTTTATTATATTAAATAAACATTAAAAATTAAAGTAGAAATGAGCAAAACTTACTTTTGACATGCTTTTTCTGTACAAGCCCACGTTCCATCTTTCAAACAGGTACTAATTTTGGAAATTAAATATACGTTTGTAACTAAATATGCTTGGAATTATGATTCAGAGGATTAGACAATGAAATTAGGAATATTTAAAATCGTTTGTAATTGAAGAAGTCCCACTGAAAAATGAAGAAGATGTACTATTAACATGTTTAGGGGAGTTTTCGAAATCACAACGTAGGCTGGAACGATATCAACTTGGTTCCACCTATACTGCGATTATTAATTTTTTTTTCTTACGTTGTGGGCGTGAAGATGAATACCTCTTTTTACCAATCACATTCCGTGGCATTAAAAAGTAGGAAAGTTAGCTAATTTGCATAGGGCCTCTGATATCATAATTTTGATACGATACCAAAAAGTGTAATATTTGAATTTTGGGCTTACCAAGTGTTGCACGCATCTTCGTGATCTCGTTGATCCTGTTCGTTGTAATTCTGTCCTTTATACTGGCAAGTGGCTAAATTATGTAAAACAATGAATATAGTGAATTGAGACGTAATACCAATAATAATACTGGTGGTGCCGGGGGAGGGAGAGAATTGATGCTCCCCCTACTCGTCGAAAATAAAAAACAATTCGTCGGAGAGAACAAAATTATATGCAATTTTTAGACATTATTGCACTCTAGAATCGATTAAATACGCCCTTAAAACACCATTGTCAGAGTTTCCGGGCTTCGTCCCCTGAACCACTTCCGGGAGAGATTTTGAGTGACCCTCGACCGCACTTACTTACGCTCCCGCCGGGGACATCGCCCCATTGGCCCACCGTCATGGAAATCATTTACTCCTGAAACAAGGTAGGCCTACTCGAAGTTTTGTCTACCATCTTCAAATTTGTTTAAATTATTTAGCATATGACTTCCGCCAAAAATATGTTCTCAATGTCGTTAATTTGGGTTTTTTTTAAATAAAATGTTAGACAAATTTAGTTGTCAATAAAATTTAAAGACAATCACTTTCTTGTTTCTTTCATAAATTGTTGAAATTCATATTTTGACAGCTTTTCAAGTGTAGGTAAGCCTATATAGATAATAAAAAAATATGGTGTATATTCATTACTTCCGCAATTCAGTTGATTCCCTTGATCATCGAAAAATTTTGCTTTGCATTCCCCGCAGTAGTTCACTTGACACTTGGCTGTTGGATATTTGTCGCAGGTCATGACGGTACAAGGGTCTATCACGCACGTCACCATGTCTCCAAATGGGCAGTCATGACAATCTACCATAGTGCCATCTTTGTCATAATATTCTGCGATGCATCCGCAGTAGTTAGATGAGCAGCGAGCATCTGGGTTCTTCGGACATTTAGCAACGTGACATGGGTCAAATAAGCAGGTATCTGGAGGCGTTCCGTCTGGGCACACAGTCTCCTTAACTGAAAAATTAAATGAAGGTGTGATTGTCACAGAAGCTTGGCATTTGACATTTACCACCGTTGTTCTCCTCTTTATAATCATTATTCTTACCATCATTGTCACACCATCATTATACTCGTCATCAACGTCGACAATCATCAGAATAAAAGTGATTATGTCTACCAGCACATTGACTTCCACTACAATCATCGTTATCGTTTCACCTTCATCAACATCTCCACCACAACAACAATGGCAACACCACCATCGTCATCATCCTCATTTAAAAGTCTTATCAACATCTTTGTCATTGGCGTAATTATCATAATTATAACATCATGATTATGAACATCATCATTAGATCTATCAATATGAATATCATCGTGGATGTTATCATCATTATTACAATCATCATCAACCAACCATCATTCATCCTGGTAATCATCATCTTGTCTAATCTATGATACTAATAATGGCGATAGAAACATCTAACGACCACACTAAAATCATGGAAATTGACGAATAAAAATTAACCAAAATTCGTACCGGCGATCTCACAGAATCTTCCAGTAAATCCGGAAACGCACGAACAATCGGCAGCTTTTTGAAATTCCATACAGCTTCCATAATTCTTACAAGGTGAATCAGCACAAACGGCTTTAGAAAAAAATATATATAATGTCTTAAAAAATTGTACGAATAACTAAGCCGACTAGGCGGGGCCTTCTTTGCAACAGTGTGTAAAAACCATGACAAATGCATTCTTGCACCGTCAAAAACGCCAAAGTTGACGGGCTTTAGCCTACCCCGGGGCTAGCCCAGACCCAACTACCAGGGCCCAAATAAACCTTATCCAGGGGCCTCAATGTTACTATGAGGCCCCGGAAGCTAACGGTTAGCAGGATCCGGATCCTGCTAACAGTTAGCTGCCGGGCGTCCATACGAGAATATCCTGATCCGGATACCAAAAATATGATGATCGAATTACTGGCCAATAAGAAACTGAAAATTGTAAACGCGTACGTTTGATTGGTTGATGATAAAAACGCGCTCAACTTGCTAACCGATAGCGCTTGCTAACCGTTAGCGGTATCCGGATACTGCTAACGGTTAGCGCTAACCGATCGCTAACGGTTAGCGCTAACGGTTAGATCCCGATCCGGATACTAGGGCTCTCGTGAGAACCAGGCTTGAATGTTTAGAAAGAGTTCTCCATTCAATGGTGAATCTAGGATTATTTTTTGCTGGGGAACAGGGCAAATACCATCGAGGAACTATGGTGGGAAGGGTGTGGATTGAGTGTATTCCTTACATATTGTAGTCTAGCTGGTTTAGGCTTTTCCGGAGATTTAGCTATCTTAATGTTTTATCTAAATGATTTCACACTTGGTACAGAAATTGTTTGGCTCTGGTTGTGGGTTAGACGAACCCCCTTTTGCTACACCCTGAATCTGTCACTGTTATTCAGCGATCGACAGACATTCATTATTACCTCATGATTTTTTCAATCATTCTTGGCTACTTTATAACTTTTAGACGTTTTAATTGACTTTATAGATATTTCGTTATTGGTATGCCTATATGATGATACATTTAATGCAAGCGTTCAGTTGTATTAGTTTTGACAAGCAGATTAAACATTATTACTTACCTTCATCATGGAATTGGCAGTTATCCCCGGATGTACCTGGAGGACAAGTACAGGTGTAGGCATCACCATGGAAGGGGTTACACTTTCCACCATTCAGACAAGGTTTACCGCTGCAAGGTGCTTTCATTAGACAATGAAATTAGCAGAAAACTAGTTATTAAATATGAAATAGCCTCATTTATTTCGTTTTTTTTAATAGCATAACATTTTTAATAACAGTTTTAGTCAGTTAAATATATTGTAGTGCATTTTTTTTCTTAGTTTACAAATACAGATCTCCCTCTACTAATTAAAGACTCCTCCAATTAAAGACAACCTCCAATTAAACACCACTTTCTCTAGTCCAAAATTAACAATTATCATTTCTCTTCATTATTCTAGTAAGAGACCAAAGCTGCTAAAAAAAATCTATAAAAACCCCTGTCCCAAAAATGGTTTCTAATTGGAGGGAGACTTGTAGTCCGCTCTCAGTCATTGAATATAGAATCAATCATGCACAAAGTACAACTTAACCTCCGCACATTTGAGAGAATGCATATATTCCTAGTCGTCCTGCTAATCCAGCACCAGTTCAATTTCATTCCAAATTATTTTCAACCTGACCGGTACCCAGAGGTTAATCCTCGGTGAATTGGGTAATGGTACAGTTACCAAAGAGCACGAAGAGTGCTTCGGTCTCAAACTAAGTCTGCATCTCAATTAAAAACATTAAGTTTTAAGCCGGGCACTCACTGCGTCGTAGGACGGTCGTACGACCGTCGGCCGAAGAATCCGCTCTCTGTGAGCGCAGACGACGCGACGCCGTTCACTGGTTTTCGAAGGCAGTCTGAATGGATCGTCATAAAAACAATTCATTGCGTGCGCGTCATGGCGTTGCGTTCTCAATAGAATCGCGTCGGTAGACGACCGTCGATCACAATGAATGTCCGGCTTTAGGCCTACAGCTGCTGTGCATGCATTTACAAAAGTCTCTCTCTGTACCGGTATCGCAGGCCTACATCTATTTCATCCTTTAACTATGATGTAAATATGATGTAAATACGATGTTCATGCCTTGTTTGTTCAGTGCAAAACTTACTGTATTCGCAAAAGTCTCCTGTCACATCCTCTGGACAATAACAATAACTATAACCATATTCGTACATCACGCATGTTCCTCCGTTATCACAATAGTTATAATCGCACCTGATATCTGTTTTGAAAGATAAAATATATAGGCTACGATTAAGCAGGTTATGACCGCGATATGGCAATTGCAATTCTCTGAAAGGCCAATGATGAATCACCTAATTAAACAAATAATTACCTCACCCTGTAGCCATTCGGTAAGTTGACCATCAGAACGGTTATAGACATATTAACTAAATAGAGTAATTTTTTCAAGTTCTCACTCTCTGTGTTTCGTCATAGTCAATGGACCTTTCCGGGGTACGTATCAATCAAAGTTAACAAAAACATGTGTTGTCCCACAAAACGCACGTACGTGTCCGCGTGTTTTTTTTTTGTTTTTTTTAACACTGATGTTTTGTGGGACATTAGCAACAATATCGAAGGGGCGTTTCCTTCATTAGTGGAAAAGAAAGGGCGCCTTTTGCGTCTGGATATACTTAGCAACAGAAGGGCGCCCTGTACGTTGGGCACGAAGTATAGGAAACTTGCATGGTTAAAAAGAAGGGCGCCGCCTACGTTGGGCACGACTTCCGCCTCATTTTTACAATGCGAGAACTCTATCTTGTATTTCTAGTATCTTTGCGTTAACCTTCACTTTAACGTTAGTACCCAAAATGCAGCGCGATAGATCCGACCCTTTTGTAAACAAATCGAAATGCGCATGCGCAAAACCGTAACTAACGTACGTCGAGCACGTAAAATCCTAAAATTAACGTACTCCGCAACGCAAGATGAATAAATTATGACGTCATCCGTTAACGTTAAGGTTAACGTCGTGTGGCGAAAACTGCCTAATAATTCTAAAATAGAACGTGTGTACTAAGATATTTGTAGTAGTTTCTGTGGTGATTTATATGCGAGCAGGCTCTCACTTTGGCGGATATTATACGACTAAATTTGATGATGTTTTCGGACATTTCATTCCATTTATATGAAAGCTAATACTTGTTTTTTGTTTTTGTTTTTTTTTTTTTTGTTTCTTTTTTTTTTTTTTTTTTTTTGTTTCTTTTTGATAAATATGGATTTCACGCTTTATTTAGTGAGGATAACAGGAGAGGTTTTCTGATTTCTCGAATTCTTAGGAAATTAAATAATGAATAACAATCCACTTTCTGTATCACAAGCCTGATCACGAGTATAAGGTTAGGCAGGCGTCTCAGGAGCACTCAATTTATAAGAAAACCTGCATTTCCAAATCATTTAACCGCTACTCAGTTCGTGCCTACAATGATATCTGCATATTAGGTATCGTAGTCAACTTATCCAAAAACCTCACTTTAACAATTATTAATATTTATACTAATATAATAAATGTATTAGCATGCCAATTTCCAGTAGGAAATATTTAGCACCAATTAAAGGAAGTTGGTAGTCAGACTTCAAATGTGAATTAAATGCATCGTATCAAAGAAAAATTCAGTAGTTCGTGCCTACAATGATATCTGCAAATAGGTATCGTAGTCAACTTATTCAAAAACCTCACTTTAACAATTACGGTACGACTTAATATTTATAATAATATAATAAATTTATTAGCCAATTTCTAGTAGGAAATATTTAGCAATAACTAAAGGCAGTTGGTAGTCAGACTTCAAATGTGAATTAAATGTATCGTATCAAAGAAAGAAATCATGAAATTATTCCTATCTAAACTTTAAAAAATATAACAAGAATCAACATAATTATGCAGGGAAACTAGCTATCACTGCATCGTTCGCCTGCAATTGAAGGCGCATAGGCCAGCCTACTCGTAAATCACAGATGCTCTAGTGATACCAGCCTCTAGACTTTCCAAATCCTAACACATAGCTATAAAAATAAATAAAAACTAACTATTAAGATGCATCATAATTTATTATGATAGTCCCTCTATAACTATAATTTGCTCTGTTGAAACAGTCTCTGATAAATGTTAAACTCACGTAGGCCTATATAAATGTATATATGATTGTTTTAAATCTTTTAAATCATTATATTCATTGTAATTGTGTTTGAAATGTAAATTTTGTTTTGATATGAGCGATTTTGTCCGTTTTAAGTTTCCGAGGGGACAAACAAATTCTTAATGTGAATCTTACCTTGTTCGCATGTAGTGCCACTGAAGCCAGGAAGGCATTCACAGTAATATGGAGAGTAAGGGTAGTAGTAGCCGATGTGTTCACACGTGCCACCGTTTAAGCATGGGTTAGATTCGCACGGGTCCTCATAAAAACTACTTTCCTCTTCACTGCTCAGTGATGAAAAATCCGGAGAATATGTTGCCTCAGAATAGCCCGGGGTAATGGAAATGAACGGAAAAGTCCAATCCGAGCTATATTGACCCTCTAGAAGAAACACATCAACATTTTCTTTATTATAATAATTGAATATTTCTTTTTTATTGTCATCATCATTACCACGGCACCACTATAACTATCATGGTCATCATCCCCATCATTATCATCTATTTTCATCATCGTTATAATGGTCCTCTAGTGTCATCCTCATCCAGTGGGACATGAAGTGGTGTGCAGGGAGGGGGTGGGGATGTCAAAGACCCTCCCCACGACTTCACCTTAGCGCCCCCATCAGCTTCTGCCTCCCCATTTCAAGACTCCAAGAACGCCACTGTCCTCCAAAACCTAGTACTATATATCAGTGGCATATCTGGGGTGGCGTGTAGCGCATGCCAAGCAAAAAAGTTCTCTTGACTGAACATGTTTGAAGCAAACAATCACGCTGAAGTAGTTAAACACTTCACCTTTGCGCCGCCATCAGCGGCGTCCCCCGCCCTCCATTTCAAGCCACCATATGCCGCTAAAATACATACATATGATCTAAAATACTATACTATGTATTTTAATTACTACATACCTTCATTGCAATAATCTCCACCGAAACCAGGAAGGCAGATACACATCAAATAAGATAATCCAAAACAAATTCCACCATTTTGACATGGATTGGGATCACACAAATCTAAAAACAATTCAGCCACCATTTTTTAAAATATGTAAAATCTCTCAGTTGATTAAACCCGCACGGTGGTGTAATAAACACATTGTGAAATCAAAAAAAATGTTGGCTTAGGCAAACAGTTTGTGTTTCCATTTACAGGAAAACGTTTTTAGAGAGGTGTACGCGAACGTAAGTTTGAATATATTATTACTGTAGTTTGAAATGGCTCATGAAATTAGCCAAAATGAAAAAGAACTCACAAAGAAACACAACTGGATTATAATAATTATCCCCTTTGTATGTCACACATTGTTACCCTAATATTAAGTGGCTGATGTTCGTGTAGACGGATATCCGGTTGCATAGACAAATCGTATTTTATGTTTTAAGACTGACGTTCGTGCGCAACAGCAAAAATTAATTAAATAAAGTGCCATGTGATCTAAACAAAATAATTTGCGTGGATCCTGTTATTATAGACATTAGTAGGTTTACTCAATCTTTATACGGATTTCATTTATCGATATCTTCGTACGCTAACATCCTAATGTTCTCACCTCATTCCTTGGATTTGGATTTACAGCCCACGAAAGTCTAGAAGAAGACTTATTTCCAGTGGGGTCCTTCTGGTGGTGATTGGGCAGTACACCGGGAGACAATCCCCTCTTTTCTGAAGAGTGTAATGCGTTCTTTAACGTGCACATGGGCTATAAATGCACACAGGACCAACGGCTTAAAACGTCTCATCCTTGTATTCAGCCCTCTAGCAGCGATGCGAATTGAACCGGAGACCTAGAGACCTCTACGGTTCAGCGCACAGATAGTGGCTACCACCAGATAAGCCGACTGAGCTAAGTTGCTCTCTCCTTGGAGGTGTAATTTTCCGTTACTCTATCAATCAACCAACCAACCAACCAATCAATCAATCAATCAAATCAATCAAATAATTTATAAAACAAATGTTGAACAGCAAGTTTTTAAGTTTGTCAACTGATTAGAGCATCTTTCCATGCGGAAGAGTGTTCCAGAGACGAGGTGTAGCACACGAAAATGCTCTTTTCCAAAAGACTCCAATCTGTACCTTGGTACATAGAGGAATTGTTTCTTGGACGAAAGAGTTTAAGATGTTAAATTTACATTAACTAATGTGGTTTCTTCGCAAAGCCAAAAATATGTCTGACAATGAGTTTCCAGGTACATTCCATTGGGCTTATGGTGGTGCCAGCGAGGGGCGGGGGCCAGGGCCCCATATCGGAGAGAAAAAGTACAATTCGTCGGGGAGAAAAATAATTATATGTATTTTCTACATATTAGTAGACTCTCAAAATCGATTAAATAAACCTTTCGAAACCTCGTCAAGGCATCGGCCACACATCGTGGACCTCGGCCCCTCCGTCGGGCAAATCCTGGCACCACCTCTAGGGGTGGTACGGGAGCCTGTTCATGACTGATGCTGCACGTCTTAAACTGCAGTTGTGGACCTTTCCTACTCTTAAACTTTTGGAGTCCTTTTAGAGGACGGCTTTACCCAATATAACCAGAACCAATGTAAAACACAAAATAATTTGATTACTATTAGTCATAGCTAACAGAGTGTTTGGAAACGTATTATGATGAAAGATGACGTTAATAAGCTTCAAACGCTTTTATAGGCAGGTAAAATTGGTTAGTTTCCCCGACAAAATAATAATAATAATAATAATAATAATAATAATAATAATAATAATAATAATAATAATAATAATAATAATAGTAATATTAATAATAATAATTAGGTCACACTTTCTGTGCACAAGTTTCAATGCGCTTCATACAAAATGTTTGAAAGTCATTAAAAACTGGCACAACAAAAATTGACAGTCTCAAACGGACACAATCCGCCTTCACTATAGCACATTCCCGGACCCTTCATTGGTTCTGGTTTTGGTAATGGTGGTTAAAGCTGACCTACTAAGGACTCCAAAAGTGTAAGATAACAGGAGGGGTAGAAATAGTGTCGAATGATAGAAATGGTCCACCACCGCAGTCAGTCATGAGCAGGCTTGCCTTATTGCCTCAGGCCGTATTGGACCTGATAGGTAGGATACTCACAATCACACATCAGCTTTGCAAAACAAAAACAAAAAAAAACATATTTGGTAGTGAAATCTCGGAGCGATTAGAGGGTATAGTAAGCGAAAATTACACCTCCAAGAAAGGAGTTAGAATTAGAGTACACGTTAAACCAGTAAATTAAGGAAAAATTAAATCCTTCGAAAGATTGTGTATTCTGTAGAAAAAAGTACAAGTCTACAGTATTATCCGGATCCGCGATTTTTCAGATCATACGCCGTGGTTAAAAGGGTCCTACTATATTTAAATTAGCTTCATCACCTAATTGTGTAGGGTTTCTGAAAAGTCTTCAATGTGGCAAGACACTTCCAATAAGACAAGATACAGAGCGCGAGCTCGCTGGTATACAAGGCAAGCACTACGGTGAAATAGTTATGCAAACCTATTATATTTATAAATTTATAACATCAAATAGTTTGACGCAAGTGAACATGACCATGGTAATAAAGCAAAATTAAGAATTGAAGTATTACATGTACTGTTACGCCATTGAAAAGCATTGATTGAACATTAGTTAAGTAGGTCGACTCAAATGCCGAGAAAGGATAGGCACAAACAGGTAAAGGCGCATATACAGCAACAGTAGGTTCCCGCGAACCAATATCCAGCGAAAACTGGTTACCAAAGCCGGGAAATTCTGGCTAAAACCGTGCATGTTACAATTTTTGTACTTTTTTTTGCACATTTAGAAATGCAGGATATTTTCAACGGCCGGGTCACTTCTCTTGTCCGTTCACCATGAACATCGCGATGAGGCCTAAAAGGCGGATTCGGTGGTCACGTGACATAACTTGGGTATACATGAAAAACATTACAGTGCGATGGAAAGGACAATGTTATGGTTGCAAAAGCAACCCACTGTTAACGTGAGAAATAAATGGCTATGAGAGGCAACACGATTGTTCAAAATAGTGTTTATTTACTTATCCTAGCTAGCCCTAACAGCGTAGTTCGCGGGTCGAAGACCATCATGCATACCTAACCATGCCGGCCGCAGTGGCAATCTCCACGTAAAACACCGCTGTGTCAGTCGATTATTTATGGATATGTTCTCACACGGCAGCTAACGGTTAGCATGATCCGGATCCTACTAACCGTTAGCTGCCGTGCGTCCATGCGAGAAAATCCCGATCCGGATACCAACAATATGTTGATCGAATCACTGGCAAATAAGAAACTTGAAACTGTAAACGCGTACGTGTGATTGGTTGATGATAGAAACGCCCTCAACTTGCTAACCGATAGCTCTTTCTAACCGTTAGCGGTATCCGGATACCGCTAACGGTTAGCTCCCGATCCGGATACTAGGGCCCTCGTGAGACCCAGGCTTTAATCCAACGCCCAAAGTTAGGTCACGTGACGCCCATCGCCAAATCCCTCTATTGGTCCCACGAGGACATGATATTAAATATTCATTAGGCTGCTTCGACTGACATTGCGGCTGCATTGTTTTTTCCCCATACACTTAGAGCAGAACAGTGGTTGCGCCAGAGGGGGCTGGGGGCTATAGCCCCCCTCGTCGGGGAAGCCTAGCTCCCCCCACCCACCCCCGTCGAGAAAGACGAATACATTCCGTCGGGGAATAAAAAAAAAATTAAAAATATTTTTACATGTCTATTCGTTTAGCAACCATATCGCCTTCATTTGACCTATTTGTGTATCGTTTGTGTTAACTTTTCATCACACTGATAACAAAAACAATAATAATAATAATAATCACATGGATTATAAAAAACATGGATTTCGCCATGATGGGAGGATAGTATTGTAATGTAATACGGTTCGTTTTTGTTTTTGTTTTTTTTAATAACATAAAATGTAAAACGGATTTGAAAATAAGTTAGTTGGTTACATCGCATACTCTTTGTTTCTCGTTGTTTTAATGAAGAAAAAAATTTTTTTGGAATTTCGACATTAGAAAACATACATGAAGTCATCATACAT